TAATATACTCTTAAATTTGTGAGCTATATCAGTCCACAAATCTATTAATTTTTACATAAACTTAAATTTTGATTAAAAGCGTGTTTTCTGACTATTGTATTTAAGTGGTAGGTTGCATGACTGTTTTCCACCCCTAGAGTTCTCTAGAGGCCCCAGAGACCCATTCTCCAGATGTGAATCTGCTCCTCATTTGATCTTTGACCTTGGCTTGGTCAAGAGCTGTTGGTTTTCATCTTTAAGCTTTAGACAGAGTTTTTGAAGAATGATGATCTGTCAACATGTTTTAGCCTGTGCGTCTCAGTACCTAGAGCACTTTTGCACAGGCCAAGGATGGGGGGCAAATTTGGGATTATCCTGTGACGAAAGTGGCTCCTTCACCTGTTATTCTGTACTCTAAGGTCTTGACTAGTTTAAGATGTAATTTGTACCTGTAGATTTGCAACATTTATTTTTCAAGTTCACACTGCTTGAAAAGAGAGTTACCAACAGAAGCCAGTTGCAGTCACAGTGCTTCGTAAGTTGAAGTAGAGGAAGCAGGTAGCAGGGCAAAGAAAGACAGTTTTGTTTGGGGTGACCGATGAAGAATTATATGTGCTAAAAGTCTGCAGCATGAACATTGTCACCACGGTAGAATTAGTACTGCCTCAGAAAGAGGCAGTCACACATAATTTCAATGTTTTTAAGTTTAGAAAACTTCAAGTCAGTCAGACACTGGTGTTTAAATCCTGTGCTTGGGAGGCAGAGGCAGGTGGATCTGGTCTACAGAGTGAGTTAGTTCCAGGATAGCCAAGGCTACATAGAGAAACCCTGTCTTCAAAAACAAAACCAAAAAAGAGGGAAACTTCAATATATGTGTCACATTTTTACATAAAGGATTATTTGTTGTTTGAGAGGGGAATTTGAAAGGATGGAGTTGAGGTCATCTGGTAGAATAGTTTCTCATAACAGATAGTACTTTGGCTTCACATTACCGCCTTCAAAACTTTAATTTGCTTTATTAAGAAAAATCTATTTTTAAATGAAAAGCAGATAGTTTTGTGTTCATATTTGATCTATCTCCTGCCCCCACGTGACAGTTGCAAATAAAATAAAGCAATTTAAAAGACAGCATTGTTCATATATAGCATTATAATAGAACTTTCCAGAGATTAGTGTCTATCAATCCCTCCTGGGATACGCATTCTTGGCAGTGCCTTAGGGTTTGGAGTGTCCTATGGCAGAGCGTTTCATATCACTGTAGTAAATGGAGTCTCTTGAGTTACGTTGGTGAGTGGATATTACTTGGGTGGAATTTTGCATTGTGACCAGGGTGCACCTTGACTCTGGGCTTGTGTGGTGTTGAAGTCCCAGAGCAGCTCCTCATACCTCCTAAGGTGTGTGCCCTTCTCTGAACTGCCTAACTGAGCGGGGTTCAGGAGGCTGAGCTGCTCTTGTGAAGTGGCCCCTCTTTCTCAACACTCCTCTCCCCAAAAGAAGGTCTTACCAGATGGGAACTTTGACTTTCTCTTATAGACTATTAAGTTGTGTCTTTTTCCTTTTTAAATAGGAAAACAACGAATTGCTCATAAACCTCATTCCAAACCTAAAACTTCAGATGTTTTTGAAGCAGATTTTGAAGATGATGTAAAACCCAAGGATTTACTTGCTGATGAGGAATTATGGGCTCGACTTGAAGAGCTAGAGAGACAAGAAGAATTGCTGGGTGAACTTGATAGGTGCTTAATGACATTATTTTTCCAAAATAATATGTATCTTTGCTCATTTATAAGACAGTGTGTGCTCATTGAAGAAAATGCAGGGACTGTAGACTTATCAGCAGTTCTTCTGCCCTCAGATGAATATTGTTCTTGCAGTTTTTTTTTTAAAGGAAAGCACATTGATGTTCTTATGCATACCCACACTGAAAACCATAATCAGTGTTACTCAGATCTCACCATGTTATAATGAAGTAATTATACTTGATAGTCAGTAATTGCATTAAATACTAACAAAAAACTTAAAGGTAACCAAGCTTTATTTTTTGAGGTGCTAGGGACTGAACTACAAGACACTATTCTATTCTATACTGCCACAGCCCCCACTCCTAAATAACACATTTTAAATGATATAATTTTATACTATTCTCAAGATAATGGTGTGTCCTTGGATGACTTGTTCAAAAGAAAAATTGGTTTTGAAGTTAAATTTGATAGTGTAAAATGTTTGTCCTTGCTTTTCCAAACTTTCTGCTTATTGAGTAGGCAATTTGTAATCAGGTAGTTCTGTGTACAAGAAACTTCACCAAACTGTCATTTGAAATACACATTAGCACTCAGAACTGTCACAGTGCTACATGAAGTTTGCTACTTCAGAGGTTCCTATATTATTTTGCTTAAATGATGTACCATATGCAGCAATTAGTTTATGTGAAAAATAGGACACAAAAAAACTTCCTCAACTGTTTCACCAATGAATTGTTAGGGCCTTTTGGTCACTAGTACCAACCAGTTCATTTTTTAAAGCCAGTGCTGGTTTTAGGAGTCTTAGTCATGATTTTCTCTATTTGCATGATGTCATTTCATTTCTGTTGCATTTTTAGTTCTGTTATTTTTGTAAGGTCTTCAGATCCTTTATGGAATGAAACATGATAAATGTGCATTTGTGTGTAAATATATGTTTTTGTGCACATGTAGAAATCCTTTATCTTGAAAAATTCCAGTACACTCTGTCATAAAAATTTCTGAAGTCAAAAATAAAAAATAATGGTATATTGTAGTTTGGGGGTTTGGTGCATTAATTTCTGTTCTTAAAAATAGAACACCTATTTTTAAAGATTTCTCTTTTAGTTTAACAGAGGCTTTATTACAGATTTATATGTGGGAACTTGAAATAGAGACAGGTGTGTGGGGGATGGGGGAGAGAACACTGAGCAGACTCCTGTGTAGCAGGAGTTAGTCTCAGGAAATGGGGTAGGTATCCTCTTACAAGCTTCCTTCCTTCCTTCCTTCCTTCCTTCCTTCCTTCCTTCCTTCCTTCCTTCCTTCCTTCCTTCCTTCCTTCCTTCCTTCCTTCCTTCTCCCTCCCTCCCTCCCTCCCTCCCCCCCCCTCCCCTCTTTACTTTTTTTTGTTTTTTTGTTTTTTTGAGACAGGGTTTCTCTGTGCAGCCCTGGCTATCCTGGAACTCACTTTGTAGACCAGGCTGGCTTTGAACTCAGAAGTCTGCCTGCCTCTCCCTCCCTAGTGCTGGGATTAAGGGTGTGCACCACCACAACTGGCATATTTGTTAATTATGTTACGTTCATGCTACATCTGGCCAGTGTCCAGAGATAAAAATACATGTGTCCTGTGAGTTCTTATGTTTGAGTAGCTACAGTATGACGAGGTGTGTAAGAACCCGGCTTCTATTAATTCTATTTGTTTGATCTTATTAATGCTCTTATTTCTTCACCTAGTAAACCTGATACTGTGATTACGAATGGCGAAGACACAGTGTCTTCTGAGGAGGAAAAGGGGGCTAACGGCACAGGCGTGAACACGGCGCCTGCAGTGACTGATCCCCTCGCCTCTGGCAGCCGTGGTACGCAAGCTCGAAACGCAGGACTCCCTAATGGTCAAGCCAGTCGCCATTTGAACTGTTCAGTGAATGGTTCAGATTCTTACAGCAACGAAGAAGATGAAGAAGATGATGACGATGTTGACGACGACGACGATGATGAAAGTGACCATGCTATTTCAGCAGATAATTCTGTACCAACAATATATTTCTCTCATACTGTTGAGCCTAAAAGGGTTTGTATTCTTGTGACTTTGTTATCATTAAACATCGTCTGTACTGTATTTTAAAGAGAAAAACATTAACAGTAATTAAGATTGTAAATTCTGCCAAACAGGAAGAGCATCCTTTCTGCTTATCTGACCAGTGCACCTTACTAGGAAAAGAGGAGTAGTTAGCTGATGGTGGCCACACCAAACTCGAACGCAGTGACTGTGACTCATCTGTCCTTATTCCAGGGCTCTCTTAAGATTAAATTGTGAGCATTTGGTTTGCTTTTGGATCTGAAAATTATTTATTTATTATACATCAGGTTTGTTTTTCTGTGGGTGTCAAGTGAGTACTGGTATCCTGAGCAATAAGGAAAAATTTGGGGGAAATTAAAGCCAGGTCTTTTTTTTTTTTTTTTTTGACAAATTAAATATAGCCATGTAATAATGGGTTTAGAGTTGTAGCATTTTGGAGCTGAGATTGACTATAGAGATCTTTTGGTCCGTTGTTTTCAAACTTGACTTTAGTACTGAAAGCTTTTGTTCTTCCATACCCAGCTGTAGAAGCCGAGTATTTAAAATAGGTGAGAGTGGACTAACTGTGGGTGAAGGGTAGGCTACCATCAGTCCCCCGTCCCTGCCCACCTTCCCTCTGCTCTGTGCACTGTGCTGAAGGCCTGGAGTATGAGTCTTAGGGAATCTGAAGGCCTGTAAACTAGTCAGCAGCGAGCGGCTTCCCTAGTGGTGGGTCTGTAGGGCAGTCTGCAGTATCTGGTTATTATCTAAGGAGACATCTTAATACTTAACTTGATATTTCTTCAGCTTTAGTTATCTCTGCCCTATTAGAAGTCTTAATTCTCATTAAGCTGAAGGGTCTTTGGAATTTTTTGTGAACAGTTGAAACTGAAACATTGTTGATATCTTCCTTCCTCCAGCCTTTTAATATTTCTTATTCTCCTTAGATAAAAGACAAACACACAAATACTCTTAGAAGGAATATTACGAAATGCCCGCTTAGCACAGCTGAGTAGCTTATGGTCTTGAGCACATTTGGCTTTTTCTTAGTCTGATTTGTTTTCTGGAGGTAGCGAGTGGTGTTTAAGCAGTTGGATGGTTGAGTGTTGCATGCTGTTGTACCTGTTACGCAGGCTTGCAGCACATGGACTGACCCACAGATGCATCTGTCAGGAGAACCGGGGAGGCGAGGCTAATAGTCAGTATGGAATTTAGGTTAAATGTATTTTGCCTTACATGCAGTGGTAAAGGCTAGTGATAGAATAGACTCTTGAAGAAGATGTAGTGTTGTAGACATGAGACAAAAGACTCAGCTTGGTCACACACATAATTTCAGTGCCAGAAAATTTCAGCTGTGTTTCTTGCTGATAACTATACAGTTGTTTTCTTTTTACTCTGGGACTTGATTTTTTTTTTTCTGACTGTTTTTTATTTTTTTTTCCCCTTTTTCTTGTGAATCAATTTTAGGTTCGAATAAACACCGGGAAGAATACCACTTTAAAATTCAGTGAAAAGAAAGAGGAAGCCAAACGGAAACGAAAGAGCAGTGCCGGAAGCCATGCTACCCATGAGCTGCCTGCAATCAGGAGCCCCGCTGACATTTACAGGTGAGTGAAGACGCTGGTGGCCCTTCCTTCCCTTTCCAGTTTGCAGGGGGCAGTCTCCTGGCTCCCCTCAGAGAGCGAGAGACCACGTTCCGCACAGCCTGCCGCCTGAGCAGCTGGGGTGCTGGTGGTTTCTTCCTCATAGTCCTCTTCATATGTCCCTGGAGCACTGCAGGCTGGTGCTCCTTCTAGAACTTGCCCGCCACAGTTCTCGTGAGCTTGTCCTGTATTTTCACCTGTCAGAGTGGGAGCAGCTTGAAAATGCCATTTTATGACCCATATTTGCAAACTGGTAAAAATTCCTCATGTTTTGAAAGAGGTGTGTATAAGATTTTTGGCAACTCAAGCTGTTTCCACCTGTACATATTTGTAAGTAGCACACTGTATTTTATTGGGTCCCAAACTCATCTTCGAAAGCAATATAAGGTAGGTCCTGTGAAGTTGCAAACTTACTCTGAGTGTGACATTTTAGAGAAGGCGTTTTAGCAAGAACGCTCAGTTGGGTTTGGTGAGGCATGTGTGACTCCAGCACTTGGGATATGAAGATGACAGGATTAGCCTCAGCTACGTGAGACCCTGTCTCCAGCAAATGACCTCAAAAAAACAGATCTTAGATTAATTTACAGGAGAAAAATCAAGAAGTCTTTGTGAAGGTCTTCTCGGTTATGAGCCCCTAAAGTGAAGTGAGTTTTTGAACGCTGCAGAGTCTTTGTGGATGTTGTGAATGGAGAGTATGTCCCTCGGAAGTCGATCCTGAAGTCTCGCAGCAGAGAGAACAGTGTCTGCAGCGACACCAGTGAGAGCAGCGCAGCTGACGTGGACGACAGGCGCAGCGCTCTGAGAAGCCTCAGCAGTGAGGAGGCCGCAGGTACCGACGCCAGCGGGGGCAGTTTGGAAGAGCCGCAGGAAAACCACCCCAAGAAGCCTTTGCCCTCAGGAGTGTCCGAGGTCCGTGTCTTAGTTCTTTGTTTGTTTTATATCTCACAGCCCCGTGCTTTGTGGTTTATCCTAAAAAGTCAAAGGGGATCCTATTAATCCTCAGTTTGTGATTTTTTGTTTTTCAGACACATTTTTAAGATACTATGAAGGCTTCATGCTCATCATGATAGCATGGAGTGTTTAGAAGTTAGCGCTCTGAGCTCAGCAGCTTGGCCTCAAATGCTGTGAGGGAGGGGCATTCTGCTCGGTGGGATAAGATGGAGAAGAGGGGGCGGAAGAAGCAAAGAAAAAAACAGTACAGAGGGCCAGTGGGATGGCTGTGTGGTTAAGGGTGCCTGCTGCCGTCCTGATGAGCCCACATGGGAGGAAATAATCCGCTCCCACGAGTTGTCCTCTGACCTGGACACGTGCATTGTGGCACACACGAACAATTTCAAAAAAAGGAAAAGTTAAGTGTAAGAAGTGGGCTACTTGACAAAAGTGCCAAAGAACTGACTGACAGTGGTTTCTAAACCAAGTGATATGTTGTCTTAGTTTTCAACACTTGGTAGACAAAACTAAGTAGAACGTACTAAAAACTTCATGTGTCAGAATTAAAGTCTTCAGTTTATGCTTAAGTTCTTAGCATGGGAGAGGTTCCAAATATTAGACAGTTTAAAAAGTAACTCCTTGGTCTTCATATTTTTTTTTTTTTTGGAGACAGGGTTTCTGTGTGTAGTTTTGGAGCCTGTCCTGGAACTCACTCTGTAGACCAGGCTGGCCTTGAACTCACAGAGATCCACCTTCTTCTGCCTCCCAAGTGCTGGGATTAAAGGTGTGCGCCACCAATGCCCGGCTGATCTCCATTTTTCTTGATATAAAAAGACGCATCAAGACAATCTGACGATTTATATGTCATTTAGTTTTCTCATTCCGGTTGAACATAGTTGATTTTGATTAGATGAAGTTCTATAAACACAGAGGAAGAGTGATTTTGTTTTTTGGTGACATGGATAATTTGTGCCATTGGGTTAATTGTCTTAGAATTTTGAAAGCTGTTCTGATTCACATTAGTCTCAGCACCTTTGTTTTTTAATTTTTACTGACCTTTAAAAAAAAATGGAGGCAAAGTGCAATAAAGAACTTGAAAACTTGCATACCTAAGTCCCACAAGGGAAGCACCTGCGTTGATGAAACAAAGCTTTGACTGTCAAGCCCAGGGAGGTAAGGGAGCCTGGACAGAAGCCTTATTTATACCCTTGTAGCGTCTGTATGTAGTATGTACCACAGATAGCTGGAGATAATGAAGTGTGTTTGGGGGTGCGGGGTTATTTGTCATTTTGTGTTTTCCCAGACAGAAGAGATAAATGCTTTACATATTCCTTCCTTCCTTCCTTCCTTCCTTCCTTCCTTCCTTCCTTCCTTCCTTCCTTCCTTCCTTCCTTCCTTCCTTCCTTCCTCCCTCCCTCCCTCCCTCCCTCCCTCCCTCTTTTTTTTTTTTTTTTTTTTGAGATAGGGTGTCTCTGTGTAGTGCTGACTGTTTTAGAACCCCTTATGTAGATCAGGTAGGCCTCAAATTTACAAAGATCTGCCTGCCTCTGTCTCCTGTATGCTGGGATTAAAGGTGTGTGCCACCACACCCAGCTTGCATTTTGCTTTCTTATATGTTCATCATAAAAAAATTCCGTGTATTTGATGGTGTAATTAAGAAAAATAATGTTAAATGGAGTGGTGGTGGCACATGCCTTTAATTCCAGGTAGGTGGATCTCCTGAGTTTGAGGCCAGCCTGGTCTACAGAGTGAGTTTCAGGACAGCCAGGGCTACACAGAGAGAACCTGCCTTGAAAAACAAACAAACATAAAAAAAAAGAAGAAAAAGAAGAAAGAAAAATGATGTTACTTGGGTTCTGTGAGCAATCAGTATTTTGATGTTTATTATCCAGAATTATTGTTATTTTAGTTTTCTTTAAAAACTCTTGGTAATGGAGGTTAAAGATTTTTTTTGTGTGCGTTTTATTTACATTTAGCACCATACGCTTTTGTCTTACAGGCTTTTTCTGGGACTGTAATAGAAAAAGAATTCTCATCCCCCTCCTTAGCACCACACTCAGCCATTGCTCATCCTGCCCTACCCACTATTCCAGAGCGAAAAGAAGTTCTGCCAGAAGCATCGGAAGAACCTGCAAAGAGGGTTTCAAAGTTCAAAGCTGCCAGATTGCAGCAGAGAAACTAGAGAGGAGATGGTCTTTACCTTCTGAGCTCAAGCTTCACTCTAGGACACACAGCAAATTCAGCCCATGGGGCTGGAAAGACACCCTGCTTCACGTGGCAAGAGTTCTCTCACCTTCATCAGTGGCATTTAAAACGTCACAGTAAATGTTTGAATACTGTAATACTCTGCTGGCTCTGTTAATTCTCTGAATACTGTCTAATTGGCCTTAGGATGCGGTAGCAGCATTTGGATTTACTTTTCAAAGAATACTGTCATGCATTGTTTTTGTGTTTCCAGCTAAACACAGGCAGTTTTGTGCCAGCTGTGATGTTGTGCTTGCCATATGGGCTGTGCTAAAGAAACTTTTAAATTTTCAAATAGATTCAACAATTATATTACTCGCTTTCACATTTTAAAGGCACTTTAAAGAAATCTACATATCTCTTGTAGGTTACACAGCTAGGTGGTTCTTTGAAAAACTTCCTTTGGATGTCATACTGGAATGTCTAAGGCAAGAAGCTGTACAAACCCTAAGGGAAATTTTGACTCGAAGAATAATATTTTGTACAACTTTTTTTTTGCAAGTAAAATTTTTATGGAACTTGGTTTCTAAAATGTTGTGAACTTCCTGGTTTAGGATTGTGTATAAAAATGTCTTTGATTTGTGTATATGCTATCAAACCACACCACAGATTCTTGAATTCCTAAAGTCCCACAAGCACCTCTTTTTCCCTGTGCATACAGTCTTTACTGGAATTGTTCTTTGGGAGAGAAAATTTGTCTAGATGCTTTAAAAAATAGATTTTTTTAAAATAAAGATTTTTTTAAGTGTTTCAGTCTTCCTCATATTTTCATTCTTCAAGGCTGCTTTGCTACCAGTAAAAAAGAAAAAAAATGTATTTACTTGTAGCCAAAAGCCTTAAAGACACATTCAGTCTCAGGTTGACCATTACTCTGCAAGTGTTGATCATTAGCTTGATGCATGCTAAAATGTAGCTTTTAAAAAGCATTCCGCATTAGTACTAAAGCCATCAAACCCAGTCCACCCCCTATTCATGGCTAAATATTTAAAGGTTATTTATAGTTTCTTTAATGAATTCTTGCTTAAACAAAGTGAAATTATGTCCTAGAAAAGTTGAAGTTGTAACTAGAGCAGTGCCACTGTCAAAGTTTTTTGAAATATGCATTTTAATGATAAAGGGATGAGTTTGAATCCATTAATGGATAATTTACAACAGGGGATTGAATTTGAAAGGCTGCCTAAAAATATAATGTTTTTCTAGCCAGTGTTGATCGTCTGTACATATATTTTGTACAATGGTTTTTTCCTTTCTGATTACCCAACTCCCAAACCAAAACCAATCCAGGGGCACCCTGTTCCTCCTCCCTGGCTGCCACTTAAGCGAGGCTTTCTGTGCTAACCTCCAGATATAAGCCTCCCATAGGACTGTTGTATCTCTCGACATGTAACCTCAAGTGTGCTGTCATTAAACAATGTTCGTGCCATGTACCTTGAGCCTGCTTTTATGTATTTTGTGTTTCTTCTTTCTAGTAAGTCTCCCCTCACATAATGCCTTGATGGTAGAAGCAAAGAAAACATATCCAGCTGTGTGTGTGTGTGTCTTCTGCTGAAGACCCAGATGAAAACAGTATCAGTTTCATAGAGTCAGTCTGTAAAGTTTTAAATTGTGACTTGAAACTATACTTTCATTTAGGAATGTAAAATTTTAGTTTTTCTAAGGCAATACCTCACTGTGTAACCCTGGTTGGACTTGAACTTGATGTCCTCCTATCCTGGGTGCAGGGGCTGGGTCCATAGTCTCACTTCAAGATAAGTTCTCTCAGATGAGTATTTTCACTCTTAAACACAAACAAACGTTACAGGCTTATTTTCTGCCTTTTTTCTTCTATCCCAGCCCTAGAATGAGCTTCTCCTAGAAGCCCTCATTCCTAAGACAATGGTGCCTAGAGGCCAGCCAGTGCCTAGCCTATCTAGTCGGCAGAACTGACGTGTGTACCCTAATGGATTCACATGCTAAAACTATACCTCTGTACCGAGACTTGATTCTGATCTGACACTGCATGATTCATTTGATTTCCATATTTGTGATGTCTCTTTCCAACATCAGCTAGCCTGGCTCTTAACGCACATTTGTCTGTGAAGCACATGGAGGCAGTTTGCTGCTTGTCTACCCCTGGGAGAAACACACTGTCTTCCACTGTGTGCAGTTCCTTACAGTAGGAGTCACGAACCCAGTGCCCCAAGTTCCTCTGATTGGTTCCGTGTGTTACCTTTCCCCTTTCACCGCCTTCGCTGGGATTGTGTTGCCCCTTGGGTTGATTTGTTGCTCTTTGTATTTTACCGTGGCTTCGCCTCATATCCTGGCTGGGCTAATAGTTTATCTGGGAGGCATGTAAAAGGTCTGTGAAAGTCAATGTGGTTCTGAGTCAGAGCTGAGTGAGAGATCACTCTTCTTTTGCCTCTGCTCACTGCCTCTTCCTCTTACACCACCATGAGACGCTGGGGAACCGATCTCACTGAAACGGTTTATTCTGCCTGAGTGTCCATCTTTCAACTGTAAGGGACCTATGCTTTCAGTTTCTGATTCAGCATTTATTTCTTCTGCACAAATAGCAGGCACGTGTGTGTGTGTGTGTGTGTGCGCACGCGCGTGCACGCGTGTATGTCAGGTTTTTCGGTGTGGGGCAAAGAAATGAACAGGGACGGACTGAAGTGGCTTGTTTGGTGTTAGACGAGATGGAATAAAGTGTTGGTATAAACTCAGAGTTTTGGTATGCACGGATGTTTAATATGCTCATGGTTACTTACATGAAAGATGACATTCCCCATTGCACATTTTTCTAGAGAGTAATATGCCCTTGTGATTTCTCTGTAGGTTCCTGGAGACTTATTTTGCACGGAGGTGCAGTGCTCCAGTATGCGGGCAGTGCACTGTTTCTTCCAATCTCTACTCCCTAAGGCACTGAGGGGTTTCCTACATTTTGCAGTTATGTTTAATAGTACAGTGGTTAATGCATCTGACCGTATTTTGTGTCATTGGAGATATGTCTTTAGGGAAGATCCTGGAGGTGGAATTGATGGACAATCTACCCAATTGTGCTTTAATTTCTTTAATAACACAGTCAGACCTGTTTCTAAATGTATTTGCATTGTTCTTTTATAAATGACATGGTTTAGACATACACATATCTGCATTTCACTGATAATTTTTGGGGGTGTTTGTGCATGTGTGTGTGTATGTGTCTACATATGTTTACTCTTGGGGGGGTCCCATACCCATTTGATATTTTAATGGGTGGCTGGGGGGTCAAACTTTGGTCCTCATGCTTGCCAGGCGATCACTTTGTTTTTGGTTTTTTTTTTTTTTTTTTTTTTTTGGTTTTTACGAGACAGGGTTTCTCTGTATTGCTTTGGAGGCTGTCGGTCCAGCCCAGCCTCGAACTCACAGAGATCCGCCTGCCTCTGACTCTGCCCGAGTGCTGGGATTAAAGGCGTGCGCCACCACCGCCCAGCGGCAATCAGTTTTTCTACTCAGTCATCATCCTGATAATTTCTTAAATATTGATTTGGGACAGCATAGGGTCTTAGGGGAAATTCAAAATTTGTTAACAGCTACCAAATTTTCCACATTTTAAAAATGCAGTTTTTTACGGCTGGGCATTCATGTGGTGCACGCCTTTAATCCCAGCATTTGGAAGGCAGAAGCAGGTGGATTTCTGTGAGTTTGAGGCCAGCCTGGTCTACAGAGCGAGTGCCAGGATAGGCTCTGAAGCTACAGAGAAACCCTGTCTCAAAAAAAAAAAAAAAAAAACCAAACAAGCAGTTTTTTGGTGTTTAAACCAAAAACCCAGTTTCTTTCCAATTGTTCATATATGTAACTCATAGTTTTTTTTAACTTGAATATTTTAAAATCTTTGAAGTTCAGTTATAGACTTATTTACAAATTTGACTTCTCTGTAATTAAGTTTTTAAAGAATAAAAGCTGGGATGGAGAGATGGCTCAGCTGTTAAAGGCTAGGCTCACAACCAAAAATATAAGAACAAAGGTAATCTTTATGCAGGTGTTCTCTAGATGTTTGGCATATAGTCTCCGGTAAGCTTTGTTAGAATTCCTTAGTTACAGTTCACATGTATCTTTAATTCATTGGTCAGCATTTTAATGTGTTTTTAATAAAAAAAAAACGACATTGCTTTATCTGTATGGGTGTATGCCTGAATGTGTGTATGTGTACCATGTGTAGGGGTGAGCTGTGGACAGCAGAAGAGTGTGTTGGATTGTCTGGAGCTGGAGTTGCAGACAGTTGTGAGCTACCATATGAGTGTTAAGAATCAGATCCAGGACCTCTGGAAGAGCTACAGGTGCTCTATGAAAGCAACAGGCACCCAGCCATCTCTAGCTCCCTAATTACACTTTTCTTTGAAGTATATACATTGTCTCCCTGTAGCCCTGGCTGCCCTGGAATTCACCTGTGTAGACCAGTCTGGCCTATAACTTGATCTATCTCCCAGAACACTCATATTAAAGACATGTGCCACTATGCCCGATCACAAGATGTTCCACTTTAAAGTGCATTTTTAGTTACTTAAGCTTTATTTTGCAGGAATATCTTGTAGGTTAAACTGTTCCTCATGGTTTGGGGGCTGAGATTCAGGGACTGGCTTCTGGTTCTAGCTGAGGGCACTCCTGGAGTGTGGATAGACCTGTATCTCTGATCCCACCCATCAGAATGAGTTCCCCGTGGGCGTTTCTTGAGATCTGCTGTTGAGGGATGTAGATTTCCAGCCAAATGTAGGAACTTGGCTTCTGTGTGACACTTCTTTCTTCTTGTCCTGTTACTATAATACTGCAAAACTATACACTTTCTTTTCCATGTGATTGCCTTTTAAATAACAGGAAAAAACTTTAAAAATTGTTTACATTATATTTCATATTTACCTACATAATTACCTTTATGTGTGTTCTTATTTTTTTATGTGGTTTCAAGTTACCATCTGGTGTCTTTTCCTCAAACCTTTTAAGAAAATCCCATGGTTGTAAATTCTGTCTTTATCTGGGAACATCCTTGGTTTTGTGTCCTATGGAACCAGCTTTATTGGACACAGGGCCTTTATTTGAGAGAGTACCCAGCTCCACCGTTGTTTCTGGTCCCGGAAAGTCAACTGCTCTTTGGTTTGGGTCCTCCTGGACTCCATGAATTGCCTTCTCTTGCTGTGCTTAAGTTTTTCATTTGTATAAGGGTGGCTACATTAGTACTTATCTTCCTTGGATTTTATTGAACTTGGATATAGATTAATGCTGTTTATTAACTTGAGGTTTTCTGACATTTAAAAACTTTTTTTATGGCCCAGATTTAAAAACTTCAAACTATTTCCTGGCTCTTAAATGTCCTCCTTTCCAGTAGTAGCTATGCATGTCGTATTTGCTTTACGTGTGTGTGTGTGTGTGTGTGTGTGTGTGTGTGTGTGTGTGTGTATACACCATGTGTGTGCCTACTGTGCTACTGTGGCCAGAGGGTGTCAGGTCCCCTACTGCTGCTGGTATAGTTGACTGAGCATGGGCTTGGGACAACTGAACTCGGGTTCTCTGCAGGAGTAGGACATGCTCTTAACCATAGAGCCATCTCCAGCCCCTCGGAACCCGCCATTTATTTACCTTTCTCTGCCGAGTGTGTGGTCCCTGTTGACTTATCTTGTGCTTTCTGACTCTTCTGTCTTCAGATGGGTGCCTGGATCTCTCTGGTGATACTTTTGCTTTAGTTATTGTACTTTTCAGCTCCAGAAAATCCAACTGATTCCTCTTTTATAATGTTGATGTCTTTATTGGTGTTCTCTATTAGATTAGGCGTTGTTCCTGTGCTGTTTTCCTCCTTGGTTCTTTAACGTAATTATAATTGCTGCTTTAAAGTGTATTTGCTAAACCCACAGGTCCTCCCCTAGGAGCTTCTGTTTATGTCGGGTGTAAGCCGTCATCTTCAGCTTAAAACACAACACTTAAATAACAATTACTCCACAGTCTGGTCCTTCCTATACAACTTTATTTTTGTTCCTTTGGTTATGCACGGTGACCCCCCTAGTAAGCAACCTCTGGTATCTTTTGCATTTTTATTTTAATTCTCTTTTAACTCGGTACCTTACTGGTTAGCCTTGAGCCAGTGTATCTTGGTGACATAGCCTGAGATTGGTCAGACATTGTTTTTTCATGTTCAGGTCCGGTACGGTTTTCAGTCTTGTTAGCAGATGTCTGAATCTTGGAGGTCACATCCATAATTTGGAACTTTCTAGGCCTGCCTAGTACTCAGCGTGTTCCTAGTTCCTGCCTTGTGAATTGTGAGGTTACATCACTGCCCTGCTCTGGTTCTTACTTCTAACCCCATCGCCATTGTGGTTGGGCCAGGCCCTATTGGCCCTCACAGCCATATGGGTCTTCCGATCTGTTTGCCATGAAATTGCTGCTATTTTCAGAGAAGCCTCTGGATGGATTTTCCCAC